TGCCAGTGACCTCAAGACTACCCTATCCTCCCCGAGTTTCTACTTTCCATCCTTGTAACTGCATTTTTGTTAATGCTTTTGTAAACTAATTGAATAATTTCATAAATAATAATTGCATAGCCCAAAAGACTGAAAATACATTATGACACTCAACCCTTTCGAGGTCGTGCCCTTGAAATGCTTGAACGCTGTAATGGCAGACGTGCTTAAGCAGTGGTACGAGTAGCATTGTACCAGACATGAGCGCTATGCAAGAACCCTCTAATGTATATAAAAAAAGAAATACATCTACACAATCCACTTCGAAAACAATAGACTGATAGAGACTCTTTTATTCAAGATTGATTTATCTCAGCACTGAATGATAACTGTTACATATAGATGGTTTGATTGTTGATTTGACCTGACTGTTAGATAAAAGCATGTGTATGCTTGTAAGTGGATCGACATCTTTAAGACTTCGTCGGGGGACTTGACAATGAGGAACAAAACCTTACCAAAGGGCACTAGCGAATCCACTTGGTTTGGACTAAATCTGGCTGAAAGTCGCATGTATACTGAACACAAAACTGTATTAATGGGACTCTACATACAGGTGTCATAAAAGTTTGGTCATTTACAGACATAATTTATATATCATGTTTCGGATACAAAGACATTTTAAGAATAAATCTTTTCAGGGAACATTTCTCATATCATGTTCTTCCAAACTGACATGCAGAGAATGAGAAATCTCACAAATTATTGTCCATCTTTACCGGAACTCGAACTATTCTTTCAAGAATGGTGATGATATAGCGCGGGTATCCTTCGATAGCATCACATCCCCGCAGCTCGATGCACTGTCTCCATGACAACATATATACATAACATCGTTTGCTTCAGTTGATAGATGCAGAAATTCATATGATTCTTTGTCTTGCTTGCACGTTCATGAGGTCTAAATGAGCATAATGATTGAATTTGTTGTCACGATGAGCCACATGTGCCTTGGTGAGCGTCGTTATTCTATTTACCTCCTTCTTTTGTTTCGTTCGCCCTTTTTTTCTCCATTTGATAGTCCCATTTGGCATATAAATGACGTGGACATTGATCAATGTCATCCGTTACGAAATATGAACATGGAGTCAATATTAAAATGTATTTATTTCTGAGACGAGGTCCTCTTTCTTTCTATTTTTGTCTCACTAATACTTTTATTTTTGACGCGGTTGAAGGATGAGATACACGTGTATCAACTCATTAGACCAGATGGGCGCCTTCCCAATGACGTAGTTACAAATTCTGTCTGTTTGTATGTGGTCCTGAAAGTCGCATGTATTATGCCAGAAGTTATAGATTTTATGGGCTCTGTAACCCATTTTTGAGGTGTATTTAAAAGAAAACTATTTGAATTATCAAGGCATGTGGAGCAATACACACACAAAAAATGACGACAAAGAAGAAGACGACGAAGAAGGAGAAGAAGAAGAAAGAGAAGAAGAAGGAGAAGAAGAAGAAAGAGAGAAAAAAAAACCAAAAGAATACCTCAAGGAGAGCAATGAATTGGAGAAAACAGCTAACTCCGACCTACACGATACTACATGTAGTACCATCTACAAAATATATTTAAGTATGGTCAAGGGTTAACTGAAGAACGGTAGAATTTATCTCATTTCCCCTAACAAGCATCCAATATGTCGTCATACTCCCTTTCATGTGAAAACAAAACAAAACAAAGGAGTGAACGACGACTATCATTCCAAATGATCAACCTTCATTTTTTTTAATTTTTTTTTTTATTATTATTATTTTTTTTATTATTATTATTTATTTATTTATTTATTTATTTATTTTTTATTTTTTATTTATTTTTTTTTTTTGGGGGGGGGGGGGTCTGTCTGTAGCCAGGATATTGTTTACAGTTTTCTTCTCATCTTTTTGATGTTGTATCCGGACGAGATGAGCGAACATTTCACTCCAATTTCTTTCTTATCTCGATTATCGTGCAAGATTCTCGCTAATTTAGGGCACCGAGCTTGTTTTCTTTATGACTCACTCGTTGCAGCAAACTCGTATTCTTGAAACACGTTCGACACAGTTTCTTTATGCTTTAATTGCATTACCAATCAACCTGGTTTAATGCAAAGGGTATCAGGGTATCACGATGTCCTTTCCCTTTCTCCTTTATTGTCGTCATAGCAGGTAGATGTGTGCATTGGTCAAAGCATAGTGTTTAAAGATAAAGTTGAGTTCTGGTCATGCGATTGCATTTTGAAAGAAACGGTGTTAAATCGATCAGAAAAAGTTGATCATGTATAGCATATAATTATATTGGTGCGTCCTGCAAGGTTTTGGAATAATCAAAATGATAAGAAATGTGGCATAAAAATGAGGCCTACATTTTTAAGCTGTTACATGTCATATTAAGAATACGAAGGCATGCTTTTCAGGGAAAGAATTATCTGATGTTCTTCCACATTTGCATAATAACAATGAAAACGCTCATAAATTATTGGTCACCCCTCTCCAGAACTCAATCTTCTCTTTAACTCTTTGTATGCCACACAATCTCCTTGTGCCACATTGTATAATATCAAGGAATAAACAGGCTTCAAGATCATTCAACCATTTTCATATGTATATATTTGTTTGACATAGAAATAGATATACGGATCATCTAATTTAGTATATTATACGGGATTTGGTCAGTGCCGAAAAATGATAGATAGAAAATGATTTATGGACTAGAAGAACATTTTGACACAAAGATATTGTAGTAGACAGAGAATGATAACATCATGCACTCAACAATAAGTTATATTACAAACGTGAATTCATTTCGCTTATCGGAACCATTGATCAACTGTCAAGAAACTTAGAACTATTTATAGATATTCGATAGAGATGTTGGCTCAAATCAAGGAACTAGGTCTCGTGTACAAACTAAAATAAATAATTGAGATTAAATTGAACGGGTGAAGAGGAGTTGCCATAATACAAGGCTCATCGTGCGATGGAATTCTGTTTTCTAACCATTTGATATATCATCTCATGATACAATGTTCACGTTAAAATGAAAAGAGAGGGAAAACACCCAAATGACAAATCTGCACCAAAAGTAGGAATTTAAAATACATTAATACTTCAATGGGAGATATCCTATAAATAAGGACAAGAGACCGCAGAGACAGAAAAGATACCATGTACATGTCATCTTCCTCGCCAGCGAACTATTAATAATTCTTATCTTTAAAATGTTGAACTGCATTTTATATAATCTGCCTGTTAAAGGAGTCTAATGCATCTTGGGGAAACAAGAATAAACATATTTTGTGTTTTTCCTCGTTACAGTAACCTTTCTCTGAAGTGTTTTACAAAATTAACGGTGTCAGTATTTTCATCTAACCCTCAGCCTTTAAACGGAAAACACCCAAGTGCAAAATAATATTTAAAAAACTTCAATTATAGACGAATTAGGATGGTTTAGCTGGAAAGAAAAGAATACGCCTGTATAATGTCCACATGCCCATGAGGAAAGTTCATTAGATATAGCTCTTTGATTCTCGGTCAAGGTGTTACTGTTTTACAACGATTTTGATGAAGACCTTTTTTTCCTTCAAATTCTTATTCTTTACTTATGAAACCGATTCACCTAAAAAAACCGTTCATGATTAGGTTAAGTTGATCAGCCTATTATTATTTAACTGGAGTCGTAATAATGCATAAGGGTAGACTGGAACACATGCGAACATTTAACGTTTAAGATATTATATGCGCAGACTATCTGAAGACGAAAAGTAAAATAGTCACAGTCACAACTTCTCTGAAGAGACCTATTTGTTTAATGAGGTAAGACGAAATGAAAGCTTAAGTGCAAAGAACTCGCATCGAATTGCTCCTGAAAAAGAAATTATAAAAAAAAGGATACTTTACATCAATAAATAACGTTTTTGTACTGTTTGGCTGCCTACTTTAATGTTGTGGTCAATTGGTAGAAGGTAAAATCGACTTAATTTAGATAGAACAGCATAATAGCCTTTTACACAAGTACTTGATATCTTATTTTGTTCCCTATCTCGCTATTTCAATATGTGACATCATGAATATAGTCGTCAGAATATTAGTATTTGGCAGACGTTTTTCGGCGATAAGGTGCTTCACCGTCTTTCTGGCGCTGCTATCATGGTAATGCTCAGAGGACGGGTTATTTCCTCAAACGAATTAGGATGACAAAACACAAAACATAGACAAATCTTGTGGAGGAATCCCATAAAAGCTAAAACCATCCGTAAATAAGCTTTCGGGAGTGGCTTCTCTCTGCTGATATCCACCACTTATTGGATCAGGCTCGCTAAGACGTGTTTCCTCCGAACACACCACAATACTTCAGTGCTCTCCGATGCGCTACCAACCTTTTAGGATAACCTCATAAAGTTATTAGAGGAAGAAGAGTGAGGACACCCATGTGGGTTGGTCTGAAGGATTTCAAAACAAATTAGCAGTTTGAGTGACTGAGATTAAGCAACCAAGGCGTCCATTAAGTGACATGACTAACTGTGTTATCATCCGAGAAGGAAATGCAGCGGAGAGGGTGAAAATAAATATTCTAGAGCCCTCTGCGAGTCCATCATCCTTTGTTCCACTTTGGTTATTGTCTGTATCCATGGCTGAGAGAAAGGGACATGTTTCTACACCCTTACATTTCTATCGGCGCGAATGGTCATTTCTCAGGGCGATATGTCAGGGCCCTGTCCTATCACGAGTTGCGATTGATCTGCACTGGTCGCAAGGCCACCAGTGAATCACAAAATTATACAATCCCATCGCCTCAGTACAGAGCTGCAATAAAGTTGCGTTTGATTTGAATCAGTCACAATCGTTAAAGACGGCCGGACCACAGCTTTTAGTAAGTTTATTCCAATTTGATATTGTTTTGCAACAAAATGAATACTAAAACAACTGTTGTGATATTTTTTTTGGTTAAATATTTATTTTTCCTTTCTCTCTCTCTAGACGTGCCAGACGGACACGATACCTAAACATGGAAGTGAAAGTAAAAGTGTCGATAGTTTTGTGACAGCATAAGACAAAATGACCACTCCAGAAGTAGTCTTGAGATCGGATTCCAAGCGCTCCCACCTTCATGATAGCCGGAGAAGCAGCATCTTCACGCTAGCCTTTGAAGAAGAGGATGGCTGCCTTCCGCGCGTCTTTGCCTGCCGTCAGAATTTGGCCACGGAGAGCGGAAAAAGACTGCAGACGGTTCGTATCTGGATTTTATGTTCGGTTTCTCTGGTCGCCATCTTGGTTGTGGCCATTGTCGATGTCCAGCACTATACCACCGAGGAGTTTAACAACAGGCAATCGCGGACTGCACTACGGCAATGGGAGTGCCTCGATCCCGTCTTGCATTACTTGAGCTTAGAGGGCGCTTTAGAAACCCACCTGAGGGTGATTCTTGAAAACCTGAACAGAACTAGTACATCGACAAATTTATCATCGTCTACATCAATCCCGCTATCTAATGCTTCGATGGAAGTAGAATCGTCGACCTCGGCGACTTTCACGTCGACAACCCCCACCACTTCAACATCCCCAGTGTTGTCGTCATCCATCGCAGTATTAATGAGCCAGTTGTACATATTCCGTAATTTTACCGACACCTCTCTGGCCGACTCGTGTGTAGAAAATCTATTTTCAGAAACCGCAATCGCTAATGATACAAATTCTTTCAATCCTGAGCATTTCAAGGACCGACTTCTGCAGCATCGGAACAACGTTTCGTACAACAGCGGAAGCTTGGAGCAAAGCTTCTATCAAGACCATCGCAAGGAATTGTTCTCCGTTGGCTCAACGCGTCACGTGACCTCAGGGTACCTTGCTATTCTTGCTTCACGTGTTCATATGGCGAGTGAGATGGAACTCTCAACCCGATGTCTGGGGCCTTCTGATTCCATACCCAGTGATTTCATATCTACCGTAGGAGCGCTGCACGAAGCGGCGCATACACTTTTACAGTTTGCATCTGACACAGATGATTCTGTTTCCGACAGGTTACTTGAAGATGTGCTGGACGCAGAGCTTTATACAGATGTTTTGTATTTGGGTAGGTTAGATGTACTTTCGCTGTGCAATACGTCGATCATTCCAGACAATTTCAGTATGGATCCGTACTTTGATACCATGACCCTAGTACTAACAACCCTCAGGAACGTGAACGATGATGCGTTACAGGTCATGATCCAGACCGCTGAAGGGAAACTAGACTCCATTCGAGCCCGTTTAGCCCTTGAGATCGTAGCGACGCTATGCGTAGTGCTGTTCTTTCCATTGGTGCTGAACTCCGTAGGCAACATGACCGGCTGGATCCACGACTACGCCCATCGGCTCAAGGAGCGGACGGATGAGCTGAAGCAGGAGAAGAAGATGACAGAGAGTCTGTTGTATCAGTTGCTACCAAGGAAAGTGGCCAATCAAATCCGGGCTAAGCAGCAGGTGCGCGCGGAAAGTTTCGATGCAGTTACCATCTTCTTCTCAGACATCGTGGGTTTTACAAGGATCTCGGCTCACATCAACCCCATCGAGGTAGGCATTTTAAATCTTGTTGATAACAGCTAGCAGTTACGGCATATACCTGAGGGGAAAAAATGAAAATATTTCTTTCGACAAAATCACTTTTGGATTTTTTTTCTTCAGGTTAAGATAAAGATGTGATTGTGGAAGCGATTAGAAAAGGTCAATCGTGTAGCACAAAAGTATTGGTGTAAACCTTGGTGTATACTGTGAGGTTTTGGAATCATCAGTATGATAAGAATTTGATCAGTCTTGCTAACAGTTACATGTACTGTAGACATATACAATGTATATGGGACCATGCAAACATGTTGGATGAACGTATCTTTAGCTGTGACTATATGTATAATTATGAGGGCATTTGAATAGCAATCCTTTTCATGTGACATTTTTTTCTCAATAATACTCTACATACTGACAGCATAATGAAAAAGCTCACTCTTTCGCATTTCCGGGAACTCAAGCTTCTCGTAGTCAACACGGTTCGTCTAAGAGCTTTATCCTTTTGATTACAACACATTAAGATAGTTACGTTAATATACAATATAAGCGTACACGTATAGATACTATCTTGAACCTGTAATTTTAGATGGAGAAGACTCAATCTCTACTGGCACTTAATTGTGCCAACTTTGTTTTTCCTCTTAGATTTAGCATTCAATAGTTCATGCGAAACTGTAACGTTGGAATTCAATTGGTGTTGATAAGACAAAATAATCAATACAGTTGAGAAATGAGCATTATGAAATTTTCATTTATCCATCCCCCAACTCTATTCAACGTCCTGGCAGGTTGTTTCAATGCTCAACGATCTCTACTCCTGCTTTGACGGTCGAATCGACGTCTATGACGTCTACAAGGTGGAGACCATCGGTGACGCCTACATGGTCGCCAGTGGATGCCCGGAGAGGAATGGTGATAAGCACGTCAAGGAGATCGCTACCATGTCCATTGATCTACGTAGTGCTGTGAAGCAGGTCCATGTCCCTCGATCACCATCTATCAAACTGCAGGTCCGGATAGGTCTCCATACGGGTGAGTCCCTCAGGGTCGTATGGTACTTTGGATTTTAGTTTTGGTCTGGTTTAGGGTAAGCGTACTTTGAGGTATAGGGGTATGCATTTGCTCCTTTGACATTTGCTTTGCGGTCATTTCCTACACTATAGCTGAATTCCTAACTTCAAGCCTGGACCTAACATGATAATTAATCCTAACCTAAAACCCAATTGCAACTCTGATAATAACCCTATACATCTGAAGAGATGAAGCCAGGGACAATATTATCCCCAAAGCGTCGAAGCACTGTCTCCGGTTGAACAATGATCCTAACGCGTGCAGTTGAGATTGCAAATGGATTTTAGTTTTGGTCTGGGTTTAGGGTAAGCGTGTCAGGATAAGCGATTGGGGTTTAGTTTTAGTCTGGGCTTAGGGTCAGCGTACTTTCAGGTATAGTGCTTTGATCGGTTTGAAGGTAACATTTAGGTTAGAGTGAGATATTGGCCACCGAGCAATTATTGTCGCCAGAGCATGTGTTATATAATATCATAGACTATAACTACATATGAGTGTAGGGGCATCGTGTGAGGGGGGGGGGGGCGCAGCTATCGGAAGCATACGCCACACGATAAATCTCGTAATTCGAAAGGGGCAGGGGGCAGATTACACTCCAAAATCACAATCATGTGGAGCATAAAAGGCCCGTTCACACAAGACATCATTTTGCTGACGTAAGGACTGCGCCAGTCATCAACCAGTGCGGTCGTCAACGCTTCATGCCCGAGGGATGTCGTTACAAAGGGCAGGCTCGTACGCAGGATTTTTTTTCAAAGGGGGGGGGGGGGTTAAAATTTTAAAATCGCGCCGAACATTTCGCAACGACTCAGCCAGCCGCTGAATAAGCGGGGGGGGGGGGAGGGGTAAGAGCACACACAATTTGAGAGGGGGTTTGACCCCCCACCCCCCCCCCCCCCCCCTCTGCGTACGCGCCTGACAAAGGATAACATTAACAGTGTGTGGGTTAACGACCTTTACAAACTACAGGCTTGATTAACGCCGGTAATGACGCCTCGTTTGCACGGGATACAGGAAGAGTGATCTCTAGCAGCAAGTAAATCAGATTTAGAATGACCCAAGGGAATTTCTCTCAAATGTATAATGAAGAAAGCTGAAGTATAAAAGTGTGATTCAACGGAAATATGCGGTCTATAGAAAGCCCCTCTTTTCTTTCTGTCAAATTGAATTAAATTGATGTATTTTCATTATAATGAAATGCAGTGCAGTGCCATTCTTGGTATATGACACAATCAAATAATCATGAATCTTGTAGTCCCCTGAAAGCATTGTTTAGTGCTACGCGTTCTTTGATCTTCACATTATATCGTGTGATGTAATAATAAACGAATAACTAAACAGGGTTATATGACTATTATCGCAGAAAAGTGGATAAAATTATATATATATATATATATATATATATATATATATCATAGAGAGAGAGGGGGCAATGGATACAAGAGAGGAATTGAGAGAGAGAGAGAGAGAGAGAGAGAGAGAGAGAGAGAGAAAGAGTGAGAGACAAAGCAATGGATACAGCATAGATAAAGAGAGATAAAGAGAGAAAGAGAGAGAGAGAGAGAGAGAGAGAGAACGACAGAGAATGGTGTAGGAAAGAGGGGTGAGGATACGAATTTGAATTGAGTGTATATTGACGTATGAATACAATCCATATAATCAGAACAAATTCAAGAAAGTTTCGTTTGTTTATAGGGGAGTGCAGCTTTCACAAAGTTTGGAATCACGTATTTCTTTTAAAAAGTCAGGCGGCTTCATCGGCCCTTAAAATGAATAATGGTTGTGATATTGGGTTAATGTTAAAATGAACGGAAATCGCAGTGAGGCACAACATTCATAATTATCGTAAAAGCGTCCATAGAGAGACGAGACAAAATAACATCACATCTCGGTGGAGAAAAAAGAGACATTTCGTAATAACATCTGTGGTTTTATACATAATATTTACAATTTTTATGATGTAGTTCTCTTATCAGTGACTTCTAAAATCATTTCATAAAGTTTCGAAAGGTATAATAATATTATGACCCTATAAAACATCTAGTCTTTGCGACTTTCTCTGTTTCTATGTGTGCGTGTCTCTCTCTCTGTCTCTCTGTCTCTCTGTTTGTCACTTCCCTGCTCTCGTTATCGTTCTCACTCTCCCTCTCTCGCTCTCTCTCTCTCTCTCTCTCGCTCTCACTCTTTCTCTCTCTCTCTCTCTCTCCCCTCTCAATCTCTCTTACCCTCTCTAACTCATCACCCTCTCCCCTCTCTTTCTATCTTTCTTCTGACCATAGGTCAAATATGACACAAAACCTTTCAGCAAGAAGCATGCATGACTTTAACTATTTTTGCCATCATATCACCACACCACTTTGCTACCGAATCCTCTGCAAATCTGACACCAACATAATTATATATCTCATAACTACATAATTTTATTTAACACAATATATCTGAAGTGCTTATTAATGCAATAAAGTAGAGGTCAGCTGACCCTTGATTTGTTTGATGCTCTTCCGTTTTGCCGCCACGGCATCTCTCTCTATGAGATAGCCCTGATGTTATGATTGCCAAATTGCTATTCACTATTCTATGGGACTTCACAACATGCTTATTGCATTGATTGGAATCAAGACTTTGTGATTCAATATTGATCTAGAAGAAGCCTCAAAGCTTTTATGAATGATGGGGAAGAGTGTGTGTATGTGTGTGAGATAGAGAGAGATAGGGAGAGACAGATAGAGAGAGAGAGAGAGAGAGAGAGAGAGACAGAGAGATAGAGAGAGACAGAGAGAGAGCCAGAGAGAGAGAGACAGAGAGAGACAAAGAGATAGAGAGAGAGAGACAGAAAGAGAGAGAGACAGAGACAGAGAGGGAGACAGCGAGAAGAGGAGGCTACAGAAAATAATGGAAGGGAGAATACACTAATGGAGGCAGTAAAGTATGGATTTATATGGATAAAAATATACGGGGAAAGAAAATAAAATAAAAGAGATTGATCAATAGCTTAACACCTACCGGCTGACAGAAAATAATATTATACGATATGGTTGAAGCTGTAAAATCGGTTTTATTACATTACCGATCCATTTGAAATCCCTATCTAGTCTCCGGTTGTGCAGGAGAAAAATGATGCAAAGTCGTCGTCGTGATATTACTTCATCATGCTCTGTCAAACAATTACCCCTAACAAACAAGATCACGTGGACTTTCAAGAAGTCAACCTTGAGGATAACTACAATACCATATTGTATAAACTTCATGTCAAACAACGACAAAACAGTAACAAATAATTAGCATAACATTTTTAAAAACATGGACGTCGCGGAAGAAGGGTAGGGGTGGGTGTTACCAAAATGGTGTTACGAACAAGCGCCCTCAAACTGCTTCCTCTCATTACTATACTTGATTAATTAAGCTATGCGATCAACGGAGACGGTCGCTTTCTCTAAAAGCTCCTAATTGGCGTGTGTTATATAGAATTTTGGCGGGAATTTCGAACCAGCCGCACCCCTCTGAACTCGACGGCAGCTGAGTCAATCCTGTACCGTGTCCAGCCCATCGGACTATACGAGCTTTCGCCTTAGCAATCTCGTTGTTGGATCACATCTTCACGTTTTAACTCGTTCGTCACTGTAGTCAAGGCAAAGGTCTAGGAGGTGACCCTAAGTGGCAATCCTGTGGTGATTTATTGCACTCATTTTCATCCCTCCATTCACGTAAGATTAACAACTTAAATAACACAGCCTTGAAAGGTAAGAATTTTCACTCATCCTACTAATCTTAATTATGCGCGTTTGAAAATTGAATGGCGTCGATTTCTCTCTCCTCTTTATCTTCGGGGGAAGAGAATTATATGACGGCCGTTGCTGAGAAATACCGGGACGATGTACATGATTTAGGTGAAGGTATATCTTCTGACGGTACTACGGTCCCGGAAGATAGTGACATTGCAGATTGTTCATGGAAAACGGCAGTACGCAAAAAATCGAAAAAGAGGCCAAGGGTTAGAAGCAATAGTGATGGAGTGTTACATGAAAAGAATAACAAAATACCCAAATTCTCCCGCTCGACACCAACTCATTCTGAGGGTAAAGTAGTTATTGTTGGATTGGAGAATAAGAACGTGTGTAGAGCCAACCCCGTGAAGGTTGTAAAACAAATTCATGATCTTGTAGGCAGAGTAAAAGATATGGTAAAAGAAAGAAACATGTTGATTGTGAGATGTGAGAGCGAAAACCAAATACCCAAACTGTTGGAATTAACCCAGTTGGCGGGCATTAATGTGAAAGTTACACGATACGATGGGAGCCAATCAACCACTAAAGGAGTTATTCACAAGATTGATCCCCAAATCAGTAACGAGGAAATAGAGGAAGTTTTGAAAGAACAGAATGTAGTGAACGCTAAAAGATTTATGAAGAAGATCAAAGGAGAAATGGTAGCAACCCCTTCCGTTCTCCTCACTTTCAAGGGTAAAAACTTACCCGAGTCCATACATTTTCTGTATGAGGTAAAGCAAGTGGATGACTATATCCCTCCTGTGCCGCGATGCCATAAATGTCAGTTATTCGGACACATTAGGCAAACTTGTAAAGGCAATATCCGATGTGTTAGATGCGGGGGAGAACATGAGTTCGAAGATTGCCCTAATAAGGAGAACCCTAAATGCCTCAGATGTGGTGAAAACCACTCTGCAGCTTACCAAGGTTGTAAATTTTATGCAGAGGCGAAGCAAATTCAAAAAATAAAATTACAGGAAAACCTCACTTATGCCCAAGCGGCCAAGGCCCATCGTGCACAGATACATGAAAATGCCGTTACTGACATGGATAATCAGAAAGACATGGGTAGTGCAAATCTAAACAAACCTGCCAAAAAACATAACACAGAATCAAGGCCAAATAACCCTCAGAGAGCCAATCCGAATCCTCAGAGAGCCAATCCGAACCCTCAGGCCCATACCCCACACACAGTACGAGAAAGAAAGGGACAGGAAGAAAGGGACAGGGCAATACCCAGATCTCATTCCCAGATCCCAATTCCAGTACGAAAAACAAAGAAGGAAACTGCAACCCAAACTCCAGTAAATATGACATCTATTGATTTGATTATGTTTATTCTGTTTGTGGTACGACAGTTGCCTCAGTCCAGTAATGATGATAATTTCTTGGAAGCGGTAGTTAGAGCAGGCAAAGAAATTTTGAAGGTAGACATTACCATGGAAATGGTAAAAAGTCGCCTCATATAACTAATAAGTCCATATCAGACCTATTGATTGTACAATGGAACGCACAAGGCTTGACGGCGCATGGCGCAAACTTTTTATCTTCCCTTATTGATAACAATTTGTTAGGTATTCACCCAGATATAATGTGCATCCAAGAAACTTGGTTTAACGATTTTAATGTTTTGTCTATACCCAATTACGTTTGTGTTTGTAAAAACAGGCCGGACGGCAGAAGAGGTGGTTTGGTGATGTATTTAAAAAACGACATCACTTTTCAGGCGATGGATACACCCAGGAACGCCGAATACCAAAAAGTTGATATTTTTTGTAAAAACGGAGTTATCTCAATCTTCAACTATTATAATCCGTGTAAAAAGATTGAACTGATAGATCTAAATAACATGATAAGAAATGTGCCGGGGAAGTATTTGATTCTAGGCGACTTTAATAGTCACAATCCTCTATGGGGGAGCAACAAATTAGACACAAACGGTAGAACTGTGGAGTCTTTTATAGAAAATAATGATTTGGTTTTATTAAATGATGGATCTCCTACAAGGTTAGACCCATATTATGGTACATACTCAAATCTGGATTTGTCCTTAGTATCGAAAGAATTAGCACGTAATACAGAATGGAAAGTACTATCCAATAATTTTGGCAGTGATCATAATCTGGTTTGCTTAAATTTTAAACATGTGTACAATAGACCAGGGGGTGAGAATATGGGACAGAGATGGTCTTTTAGAAAGGTTAATTGGGAAGAGTATAGAGAAGAAATTGAAGAGGCATTGAGAAAAGAAGGATATGAAAATCTTGGTGCAGAACTAAACATTCAAGGCAGATACAATGTGATTGTTAAGGTGATCAAGGAAACGTCGAACAAGTGCATTCCGCGTGTGCAGATTGCCAAGAGAAGAAAAGTAAATCCCTGGTGGAACAATGCCTGCAAGAAGGCGGTGCAAGAGAGAAATCGTCTTAAAAACAGGTTAAGAAGGTATTATGATCTAAATGATGTTAAGAAATACTTAAAGAAGAAAGCTGTCGCTCAGAAGGTAATCAGGAGAGCTCAATATGATTATTGGTTAGAGTACTGCCGTAGAATGAATAGATTTACAGACATTGGGAAAGTCTGGGAACAGGTTAAAAGAATGCGGGACAGTACAATGAACAAGCACATCTTTCACAATCTATTTGTAGACGGAAATATCTTGAAAGAATCTGAGGAAAAAGCAAATGCAATGGCAACCTATTTTAAATCGGTTGATGAATCACTTTCCGTAACTAAAAATGAAAACGAAAATATCTTGTACAATAATTCTTCAACAAATGATGATGATTGTATCAATGATGACTTTAACATGAGTGAAATGGGGAATGTTTTAAAGGAGATGAAAAACTCCTCATCCGGTAAGGATGATATTTATTTAATTATGATTAAGAATTTGCCGAACAAGGCACTCGTGTATTTATTAAACTTGTATAATGACATTTGGAAAATCTCACTTTTTCCACATCAGTGGTATGAGGTTATTCAAATACCAATCTTGAAATCCGGAAAAGATCCGACTCAAGTGACCTCTTATAGGCCGATTTCGTTGATATCAACATTCTCTAAAATTATGGAAAAAATGATAAAAAATCGCCTGACGTGGTTTCTAGAAAAAAACAGACTATTAAATATATTCAATCTGGCTTCCGCAAATATAGGAATGTCAAAGATCACTTAGTGAGATTGGAGACGGACATACATATATCCTTGAAAAGTGAAAAATATACCGTAGCGGTCTTTCTTGATTTAGAAAAAGCATATGATTCGCTATGGAAAACAGGTCTACTAAGGAAATTATCTATCTTAGGCATTGGTGGAAAAATGTTACTTTTTATAAAAGCATTTCTATTGAGTAGGATTTCTAATGTGAGGATAAATAACTATATGTCTCGCCACTACACGTTAGAAAATGGAATCCCGCAAGGAAGTTCATTAAGTCCTTTATTATTTACTTTAATGTTAAATGATCTCAAGATAAATGTAAGTGATGTTAAATTATCTTGCTATGCTGATGACATTGCAATCTGGTGTTCAAATAAGGATTTAGAGCTGGCCCGCAGGAAATTACAAGAGGCCCTGCATGAGCTTGAGATATGGTGTTGGACGTGGAAGTTAAACGTTTCCCCTACCAAATCTGCAGTATTAGTCTTTACCAACAAACAAAAGAAAGATATTCTTCTACAAATAAAAGGACATAATCTGCCTATATGCGAGCAGTATAAGTTCCTTGGTGTGAGGTTTGACTCCAATTTAACTTGGTCTGTCCATATAGATTCTATCATTGATAAATGTAAGAAAAGAATAAACTTGCTACGTTGTGTCTCCGGCACCCCCTGGGGAAGTAAGTATGAAATTTTGATGATGATTTATAAAGGACTTATCCTATCCATTTTGGACTATGGGAGTGAAATGTATGATTCTGCTTGTATATCTTTAACAAAAAAACTTGACTCTATCCAATACAGAGCCTTAAAAATTATTACAGGCACAATACACAATGTGTCCTTGGAGGCTTTACAAGTTTTGACCGGGGAGCTGCCTCTGAGATATCGTAGAAGGTTGTTAAATGATAACTTTCGAGTTTATTTACTGTCTAGTACTTTAAACCACCCAACAAAAGAAGTATTGGGTGATGACTATGATTTAAATAACTTAGAATGGAAGATAGGAGAAGGACCTTTTAAACTGCGATCCTTTAGAGACGAAGTAGTGGTGGAAGGGCAAACCAACTTATTGCCGAAAATCCCAGAATGGCGGTTAGCACGACCACAAGTGTCTTTTGAACACCATGGCAAAGTGCAAAAAAAGGAAATGCCTCCATTTGAAATAAAATCGATTGTTCTAGATAGCATTGGAAATTCATGGAATGGGTTTTTACATATATATACAGATGGTTCTAAACTCGAGGATGGGAAGACAGGAGCCGCATTTTATGTGTCTCATTATAATGTGGTGAAATTTTTTAGATTATCCCATGTCTGTATTATGAGAGCAGAACTAGTGGCCATACTAATGGCACTAGAGTGGATTAATACATTTATTGAATCCTCTTCGGTGGTAATTTTTAGCGACGCTTTGTCAGCTTTACAAATGATCGATTCATACTTTATTAGATGTGCTATTGTAAATGAAATTTTATCCATAATTAATATTTTGCAGTTTAAGGATGTTTGTGTTGCTTTTGAATGGATTCCGTCACATTGCGATATTAGGGGCAATGAGATCGTAGATCGGGCTGCCAAAAAAGGAGCCATGAAAAGGTATATAGACATAGTTATACCAAATACAAGAAGTGAATTGGCAGCCTCTCGTTTGATCCATTATAACAAATTATGGCAAGCAGAATGGGACAATGCAGAACACGGTAGATTTTTATATGCTTTGCATAGCGACGTTTCAAAGCCCATACATAGACAAGGCCTATCTCGCAGAGAAGAATGCTTGATACAACAACTAAGAGTAGGTAACTGTAGTTTAAATTATTACCTTTTTCAAATTAACCAACACGATACTGGTCTTTGTGAAGTTTGTCAAGAAGATGAAACAATTAAACATTTTATTTTCTATTGTACAAAATACGACAAAGATAGACGTCTCTTAAAAGAAAGGATTAAATTGAACAACCCCAATCTGAAACAATTATTGATGTCTAACCCAATTTTTACTCGTGAATTATTGGGTTACATATACGATACTAATCGTTTTAGATAGCTTTTAAAGCTATCAGGGATCCCCTTAACTTATGTCGATCCTGTAATAATATATAAAATGAAGTATTTGCGGTTTTTCCATGAACAATTGCAACTAACTCCCATCTCGCCTTTTATGTGCATTTTATGCAATTTTAATATTGCAGCTTTTTTTTTTTTTTTTTTTTTTTTTTTTTTTTTTTTTTTTTATAAAACCATATCACTATTAATTTCATTTCACCAAGGAAAGTCGCTCGTGGGCTTGATTTCCGAAGCCCACGCCAAAGCTATACACGAAATTGACTGGCGCAAATAATCTTTGAGATTGAAGAGCGCCATCTAAACGAAGAACCAACCAACCAACCAATGCTCAATCTATTATCTGCGAAAAGGGATGTTTTGATTGGCTAAAAGAAACTGCAGTCGAGCGCAGCATTAAACGTTGTACAAAGGAATACCATCAAACCTCTCACTATTTTGGAATTATGCACTTCGTACTGATAATAAATCGTATTATTATGAAATAACGTGCATATTGGCTTGAAATCTTAATATTCTATCCATAAAACTGTTCTGGTCATACCTGGCATTGCGAAATAAAGACTTTGAAAGCTATCTGAATTGGCTGATCGTTTGGAACATAGGAGTTGATGTAACTATGGGAGGTTTTAAAATCACCAAAAGGATTAGAAATTGACTTTGACTTTTCTCTTTCCGCAATATTTATAAATGTTTTCCATTTCTATCTTTCATTTAGGGCCTTGTGTGGCGGGAGTAGTAGGAGTAAAGATGCCTCGTTATTGCCTCTTTGGAGATACCGTCAACACAGCATCGCGTATGGAGTCCAATGGATTACGTAAGTGGCGATTATCTTGGGGGCGGGTGAGGGGTGGGGGGGGGGGGTAATTATGACAACAGCGTCCTATTTACAAAGGGCAGCCCCATTATTATTGATATTGCTATCTTTGAGTGCCCTGACATTTTTAATAATACCCAAGCATTGCCAGTTACCTATTTGATATACCTGGGCTGGGTCGGAAGGGGCACATGTGGGAGAAATCAATCATGTGATCGAACCAAGGACCTCTTATAAGAGAGACAAGAGATTTTATAGATATAGCTTCGTGCTCTATTTATCTATCAAACCAAAAAATAGCATTCAGAAAAGATTTATTTGATTTATGATTTGAGTAGCTTGGAAGCTCAACCTAAGTACTCTACATGCAATGTTAAAGAATATTGTAAACAGTATTGCAGTATTCATCATCGGGGTTACGCTTTCTTCTTCTTTTTCTGTCTTGCGAATAAGATCCCCGGTATAGAAAAAGCTTATGAGCCTTCGTCTGTCGGACTCTATACAATAATATTGAAGAACATTCTCAACAATATAGCAGTAACCATTTATTTTCGTGGTATTATTGTCTCTTTCTTTCTAGCGAATAAGATCCATCTAAGTGGAGAATGTTATGAAGCTTTGGCTCGGGACACTACCTATGTGATGGAGAAGCGAGGGGAAGTCCAAATCAAGGTGATTCAATTCAATTCAATTCAATTCAATTCATTTATTTCCACGAAACTCATACAAAAGAAAAAATGTGTACATCTATGCAGAAGAAGAAAACAAATAGAAATATTAAAATAGAAACAAAAACAAGCAATGAAGGGACGATGCATACTTGACATGATTGTGTCGGACTAGCAAAGGCCCAAGGTCTATCAAGATGTAATTCCCAGCGAGGCTGGGATTTAACAAAAATAAACTCGATTTTAGTTCACCGTGACCGAATCCTTCAGATTTATAGAATAAATAAAATGGGCATGATGAATTATTTACTGTTGCTCTGCACTATCTTACTGTCCATACAACTTCGAAATAATTTGGCATTATGTCCTTGTGGAGTTCGCATAAATTAAAATAATTTGAAAGTCGGATGAAAGAATAAATTCCACTCCATCAACTTTATGAGCTACCACGTCATATTTGGCATTTCGGAGTAGATTTCTCTTGAAACCTTTGTGGTTTTCAAGAAAGATTGAAAACTTGAAATCATTTATTCTAAATTTCACACATGTATGGATTGGATTTATTAGTGAAAAGAATTTATTATTTTGGGTATTTCTTCGCATGGTATGGATCAGTGGTGAATCCAAGTCGTTGTTAAGCCATTGACTACTGACTTATGTCATTCACATAGGCTTTAATGCAGGAGCCACCCGCTTCCAGTACGCAATGGGTTAAAGGCGATGGGGTACACTTTCCAGCAATATCTGATAAGCAAAAATAAAAGGGAATAGAAAACAAAAGCTTATCATATTTTTTGTGTTGACAATTTTAAAGGGACGGTGGGGAAAATTTCACTTATGTTTGATTTAACTATTTAGTTTTAAATATTTTGTTATTTCTTTGATCGGTACTCCAGGGCAAAGGATTGATGACTACATACTGGCTCATCTCACGTGATGACTATTCCGAAATAAACGATAGCGCAGTGTGTACGTGGAAACCCAAGAAAAAGAAGAAAGTGGCCTTAGACGCGGGCTCCCAGGATTTATTATCCAGCGCCGAGAACTCGTCCGCGGCAAACAGTTCTATCAGCTTGAATTCGTCAATCAGAGCGGCTGGGGATGCGACTGGTAATGATGTGGACAGTGAAACGAAGAGGTTGCCAAGGATACCGGGACAGGTGTCTGATGGAGATGGTGCACACATCACAGAGGAGAATGCATAGTATATTATAGAATGGATATGTGGTAGAGCAGCTGTATCAAATGAAACTGATAAGCCTACGACCCCCACCCTGTGTCATTTAGGGTACGCGCATGCATGTTCCCTCCTTTTGAAAACACTCCCTTAAGTCCGGTGTGTAAAGTCGATACGGGCCGGATTGTTGTGTACTACGAGCCGGACTTTGGTGCGTGAAAAGTACCCCTTTATCGGGCAGTTTGGGAACACGCATGCGGTCCCTCCGACCCCGGAGTGGGGGAGGGGGGCGGGCCTATACGACGAACCGACGAAACACGAGACTGACAGAGGGCAGACCAATCGATTTATTAGGGGTCCTCCATGAGACTAACATTATCGGTGACGTCTTAGAAAGATAGAAAAGGAAATAACTGAAAACATACAAAGTATAACAAAACCAAACAACCAAACCAAAATAAAACAAGAAGATTGGCCGAGGTACAGGGAGGGGTACTAGTAATTGTTCTTCTTTCTTATAATTTTAATTCATAAACTCTATTTTCCCCCACACTTTTTTTTACTGTGTATTTACTCGAAACGTGCTTTAAAGGTGTGGCAACATAGTTTGGTCCGTGTTCCACCCTTCCATGGTATTGTACTTTCTCCAGGCAACGCCATTGAAAAATAATAGACTAAACTCTGGAGATAATGACTTTCGTTTAAAATTAGAGTTTGTGCAGGCAGACTAATCTACTATGATTTGCTTGTACATGTATTGGTACGTATTTCTCCTAAGAGGGCCGATATGTAAGATGCAAAAACAGACACTTGTTGGAAGTAGTACCTTTGATTTAAAATATTCAAGCAAACTAATCAATCTGAAACCTAGTTAATCTGAAAACGAAAAAACAAATTATTCAAGCAAACTAATCAATCCAAAAACGAAAAAAAAAAATGATTTCAAAAATTCAACTCTGTTTCAATATATAACAAAAGTACGTTACCTCTGTTGCCATGAAAATTAATGTTCATTTCATATCTAATTAATTATACTTTTATTCAAGGGCACATCACGTCTCTGTAGGATTTGTTTTTTTGTTAATTAATCAAATGTGAAGTGTTTTTTTTAGATTCAGTGGATTGGAATGGTTTGAGGGTGGGGGAGGGTTCTATTATATCATCATGTTTTCACTTTTAACCTTTTTTTTATATTTTAATTTGTATATTTACATTATAATTTATATATGTTACCATGTATAAACTTGTTTTGGTTTATTCCCTATCATTTGAATCGATCAGATCTCCTCCCCCTCCCCTTTATTTATTTTTTTTTAAATTTATTTTATTCTTTGTACACTGAATCCTGAAAATTAAGTGTCTATCTCTCCCTCCCCTCTCTACTCTTTCTCTCTCATTGCACATACACACTCAGTCTTACTTCCTCTTTTTGTTATCATTGAGTCCTTCAGTATATCTCTGGTCTCTCTCACTAACCCAATCGATCTCAGACAATTTTGTTTTCCACTTGCCAATGTTCTCATTCTCGCAATCTCAAATTTCTTCACTTTCTTGTATCTCATAGCTTTCACAGTATCACAAAATCACAATCTCACTTGATACAAAATCTCACACAAACTTGTTCTCTACTAAATATGTTTCTGGACAACTTGCCATATTTCCTTAATATTTGGCTCTCAAACTTTTTGTTCAGTTCTAAAAATAACACTGGGACCCTGTTTCATAAAAACTTGTTTTCAATAATTAGCCGTAATAATTGTTATAAGCTACTGAAATCCTTGGCTTTCATTGGTTATGAACAGATTTGTCATAGATCTGTGGCAGTTGTTATTGATAACAAGGTTTATGAAACAGGGCCCCGATTCATGAGCAGAAAGCAGCAAAGATATCTACCGTACTCACTATTATGTCAATTTGTGTGGCATTAATATAATCCATTTGATGCCAGGAATTTCAAATGGGATATCAAATAAGTGATTTCGATGTGCAGATGGATCAACAACAACATCAAAGCAAAATCATTGTCATATTGGTTTCCCAACAAAACATTTCAAACATTGTATATATTAATTTCACATCCATGAAATCAATATATACAATGTTTGAAATGTTTTGTTGTCGTTTTATTGTTGGGAAACCAATATGACAATGATTTTGCTTCGTTTATGTTTCGATCTTTATACATATCTCTTTATTTGTAAGAAAAAAATTGTAATGTAAGTACATTTCTGTAAAATTTGACAAGGAATTCAGATGCATTGTAAATTAATAGCTTGATCAATTTATTCTTGTCTATATTAAGAATTGTAAAAACGATGCTGGAAGGATAAAGATATAGAGAAGTATGTTTGAGGTTTCAGTGTGATTATTATAATTGTGCAATACACAATACAGTGTGAGTTTTGAAGAAAAAAAGAATATTTAATAAATAATAAAAAGATAACATCTGAATATTACATGTTTGTGTCATTCAGTTTTCTTTATTAAGTAAAACATGCTATATGAAATGTAAATTATATGAATTTTCAATTCAATTTCTTTATCTTTTAGTCCATAATATTCTATGAATATGATCTATCATATAAAATCATATAATATCGGAACCCCTATACTCAATACCGAAATCCAAATCCAATATGTATTTGTATAGCGCCTCTCCTTGATGTTACATGCTCAACATGTTTGGGCCACTTAAACAGTAATAGATCAGCTGAGCCAATGCAATCCATTTATTCTCTCATAATAATAAGGCCAAATAATGTGTTTCTCGTCCAGATGTTTTTAAAAAGGAGGCAGGGCATTACTATTTTTTGCAATTTTTTTTCCAAGATGGCTGCCATGCTAAATATAGCTGGCCAAACCTATTTATTCATAGATATTGTGCTTTGTGAGTATACTGATGCAATGTATGACAAAACAAATGATTTGTACCACTTTAGAAGCTATTTAAACAAAATGTATATCACAGGCTTTTTTTTCGTTTTGGGAGGCTTTTTTTCTTTTTAATAGTAAATAAGAAAAAAAAGGAGGCGGGCGGGGACGAGAAACACTTTATTTATGATACTTGGCAAAATGATAAAAATAATAATAGTGGAGTCTTGGGTAGCAATCATGTGTGGTACATTGCCAATCCTGGAGCTCCATTATCATTTATGTGATTGGAACTAACTATTGGAAGTGACTACCGGTATGCCTAAAATGCCCTAGGCAAAGACTGTACAGACTACTGCCAATAAAACCATAAAGCTGTCCATAAAGTTCCGCATGACTTTACAAACGACTTGAATATGAAGTGCCAGATAGGATGCCCAAAGTTTTTCCTGATGTTTTCACAAAGTGTGACTATATTTCGAATAACCTCAATCAAATTATGGTAAAAAATATATTTTGTATTAAAAATGTTTGTTATATAATAAGAATGTTAATCTACATCTGCACAGTTCAACTTTACTGAGTTGATGCAGTTAAAAAATGATTGAGCGTCCCATTTGGCTTTTCATATATAAGTCGTTCGTAAAGTCATGCATAACATTACGAACGGCTTGATGAAACACCCCCCTGGAGACAGTGTCTCGTGGATGACCCGAGAACTAGTGGTCTTTCAATCAATCTAGTGGACCTTTGATCAACTGGGATGTGCCCACAAGAGCCAGCCTATAATAATCATGATAATATTCATTTAAGTTGGGTAAATATGGAGGCCCTAAAACAGCAAATGGACTTTTCACTTACTCGTGATATTTGCAACTGCCTCACTAGTTCTCTTAGGTACAAGGAGTGTGGATGCTTTACTGCTTAGATGCCAGATAAAAATAAAAATAATTTTAAAAGCAACTCTGGCTGACACGCTGCCAATGTTTTATCTTGTAAAATTACATGGTCCAAAGGCTCAGCCCTCCCCCCCCCCCCCCCCCCCCCCCCATTACCCCTCCCCTAGACACAACATAAATGAATTCCCACTAGTTTGTCTATCAGGTCAAAGAAATGTGGCATAATGTCAAATGACAATAATATAACCTTTAAGCTTTACTTTAGGGTGGCCGTTGATCAAGTGTAAGGATAAGATAACATAAGTATGTCAAAAACTACAGTAATTGGCTACTGAAATCATGGGCAGGTTTCATAAAATCATCACAAGTACGAGTTTGCCAACATCACATTGAAACTCATGTATTCAAATGAACACGTTTTAATGGGATGTTGGCAAACTTGAACTTACACCGGCTTCTTGAAACAATACCCAGGTACGGGAATGAGAGAATTCAGGAGTCACTGGGTTAAACTTGAGGAAGAAATTTATGAATGGTGTCATTATGACAAATGATTCAAACATCCACCTTTAACCCGCTGACTCCTGACTTCTCAGATTCCCATAGGCTTAATGCAGGGACAACCTGGTTCCCTTAGGAAATGGGTTAACATCCTATCCAAGAAGGAGGTATCACTGACGTATAACGGTCACTCCTGGTAAATCATTAAGATCTGTCTTGGACGGGTAGACGACTCTGAGTTCTCCGTCCTCATTGATGACTCGAACCTGTTCCACCACAAGCTTGTTATCCTTGTCCTCTTCAGTAGACTCTGCACCAGCCCCTTCGTCGGATGTTCCCTTGCTACCCAGGTTCAATTCAAGCATCTTGGTGAGAAGGGCCTGTAAAACCTTCTTGCAAGAGCCTAGGTCTTCAGAGCTGGTCACCTCAATCAGGATGTCTGTTGTGGATCGAGAAATCTGGAGAGAGGGAGAGAGGTTTAAAATGAGAAGATTGCATGAATGATATACACTAGAGAGAGATAGAGAGAGGGTGGTTTAAAAATGAGAAGATCGCGTGAATGACATACAGTAGAGATAGATATAGAGAGAGTGAGTGAGGGACAGAGTTGCCACCTTTCTTTTCTCCCACCTCTTATCTTAATCAGCTTATGAATACTTTGCAACCTTCAGCTAACATGCTTGTACACACTCTTGAACAGCCTTATGTGTCCCAGATAGCTTCCATTGATACGTACCTTTGAAATATCTGCATTTGTGATTGGTGGAAGTGAGATCACATGACCAGCGGCATCCAGCAGGCAGGGGTAGAGCTCTTGATGGGCCAACAGGCTGAGGTATCTAAGATGAAAACAGGAGATGAATATCAGTAACAAACATCAATTGTAACATGATGATGATAATGATGATGTTGGTTAAAGATAAACTTGAGTTCTGGTAATGCGATTGCATTGTGAAAGAAAAGGTGTGGAATGGATCAGAAAAGTTTATCATATAGCATGTAAGTAATGGTGTGTAATGCAAGGTTCTGGAGTCATCAAAATCATCATAAATTTGCCAGAGTCTTGGTAAAGTAAAATTCACTTACACAGAAAGATGTATATGGGACAACACACATGGTGTCGGGGCTAGTACTACCCTGATTTCCTTATCTTTCTATGCTCATTACTCAGCCAGTATACATTTTCTTCCAAAATTGTTTGGCACATGACATTTATTTGTAATCTTGAACATTCAGTGTAAGTTTTGTTGGATTCTGTGAGAATTCATTTTTATTTTTTTACCAGAACTCAAGTTTATCTTTAACATAGCGATGACGATGATGGTGATACAGTCAAACGTGTCTTACTGGCCACCTCTCTATAAGGGTTACCTGTCTTCATCTGATCAATCATATATTATGTACATGTAACCCTCAAGAAAGAAATGTGTGTTGTAGAACCTGTCTAGAAAGACCTGTCAACAGGGTGACCTTGGTAAACAGGTTTGACTGTAATCATTATATTATTGAATAGTGATGGCGATGATGAAAAAGAATATGACTATGATCATAGTATACAAGATGATAGTTTAATAATGATAATAGAAGTAATGGCAAAGATGACGACTATAATGATAAAGATGACTCACAAGGATGCTTAATGCTGATGAAGTTTATCATGGATAATAAATTTGATTGCTACAATGAAAACAGAAGATTTCAATTACTAATACGTAGTGATTTAAATGTTCATAATACTGCTTCTGACACACACCAGAATTTCATTCATTAAAAAAATGACTGGCACAATGAGAATAGTAGAGTAAACACAGACCTGGGGGGGGGGGGGTGTTCCACAAAGACTAAGATCTACTGTAAGTTGGACTTAACTATGGCAGGCCGTTCATGCCACTGTTATCTCTCACCATTTACTGGCATTGGTCTCCCAAGTGACGTACAAATGAGGGTCACAAATCTACAGAATTTAGATTTTGTTGATAGTTCATTATTGAAGGAAAATATATTATCTAAAGATCATAATGGTGAGAGCAAACATTGACATGAACGGCCTGCCAAAGTCAAGTCTAACTTAAAGTCGATCTAAGTCTTTGTGAAACACTCCCCTGATCTTGTTAAAGAGTTTGATTCCTATCATCAAACAGACATGAGGTCATGGGTTTCTATTACTTCATTTGATTTTCATCGTTTTGGTGTCTCGAATATCCCTTGTCATGAAAATAGGGACTTTTAGATTTGCGTGGACTGATACGTGTGACGTCCATTCAAGGCAGTGCATTAAAAGGACGTCGATCGTAGCAATCCACGTTGTTGTTGTGCAAATCTAAAAGTCCCTAATACCTCTAAAATCAAAAGATCTGGACAATGGACGAAGTGAGACAAGTTCTTACTTGTGAATCCCTGAGACAGTATTCCTCTTGAGCTCCTTGCGTAACTCATCGGCTTCTTGATTGAGTTGTTTCATCAGAGCTTCTGCAGTCACCATCTTGGTCTTACCCAAAGGAGTGACCTGTAAGTATTGAAGGTGAAATAAATGGTTTTCAATTGGAATAAAAATAGGACATTTGTTGCTTTCTCTGAGAAGAAAACTAATTAAAAACTTGAAGAAAATCTCAGGCAATCAAAAAATGATAGAGAGTGAGAGAAGATAAGAGCAGGAGATTGAGAAAAGAAGAAGTTAACAGTAGGCTACAAATTGAGCTATGAGAAGACAAAAAGGGCTGAAATGATAATGTGACAAAGTGAGGACAAAGAAGATGGAGTGAAAGAAGGAGAAACAAAATGGATACATAAGATTGAGAGAGAAGGCAAGGGGGAAAATGATTTACAAAGATCCATTTCAGATCATTCACAGATTACCAGTACATGAAATTCCACTTTTAAACACTATTTTCCTCATGCTTTTTTCACAAGCGTCTATTCAAGGCAGGTATTCCTTTACCTACAACTCAAAGGCATAATGCTGATTGCAACATAAGATTACCTCTTAAATCAACAAATTTTGCAATTCATTATAAACATGTTGCAATAGATGGCCACATGACTGTATCAATAGTACTAGTATAGAATTGTACAAACTACAAAATATATATGTTTCTTATATGAAATCTGTGTTAGAATAATCAATTAAGCACTCGTTGCTTAAAACCGTAGGAACTTTGTTAGAATTCATTTCATATTCAATACTGTTTCCTGAGCTGTTGCGGAGCTTTCCAACACCAAAGTATTTTTTTTGTTGCTATTTACGTATTGATATAGACCCTATATCAATTGATATTATTGCTATTATCATGAATACATAATGTAGTTTTGGTTTACATGAAACTACTATACCTCAATGCTATGCGGTGCTTTGCCCTCATAGGTCAAAGGTCCTTTGATGCGTTTCAGGTCGTGGGTTGCTATGGTAGCAGTCGTCCTCTTTGCACACAACGGTCCGTCATGAAGCTTGGTCTGAAATTATACAATGACAAGTTTGAGACGATTATAATACCCAATTTCAATCATTATTTTTCTTGTTTCATATCTATTTTTATCCATACTACATATTTTGTTTGCTTCAAGTAAATTTCTCAACCATTTGTTGTATATATTTTCTGTAATGTGCTTATTCTTTATTCTACCCACTCTAAGAGGTTTGACTTTTGTGATATACAGTATATCAATTTCAAAGAGAATTTGAAGATTAAATTTACTCTATAATTCTTCAATCTACACACATGTATTAATCTTACAAGCCTATGTCAACAAAATGAAATTCAAAATAAGGTTAATTTTTTTATAACTGTGATTGATCAGTTTACTTTTATTTCTTATTTCACTAAGATTTAGATTCATTTTCAAATATGTTGGAAATAAAAGCAATTATCTACAAGGGTTTGAAGCATAATGCTTTCAATATTAAAAAATCACAAAGAGAGTCCACATCTTTCTACCTGAGCGGTAATAAACTGCTTGAAGTGGTTTCCAGAGGACAGATCCAGATTCCTGACAACGCAGCAAGTGATGTACGGCCGCACAAACACCACAGATTTACAAGCTTTGACTTCCATTGGTTCTGAAGAGTTCCTAAAGGTCATGACCTCGATCACCTGACTGATAAGCTCCGCCTCCTCATCCTTTGACTGTGATGACTTCTTCTTTCGTTTGCCTTTCTTGGATGATTTCGCAGGGGCAGAATGCTCCTCTTTCGTTCCGTGTACAGCGATGTATTCTAAAATTGGTTTTGTTCCTCGGGTCTGTTGAATCAGCTTTTTTAGGCGACGATCTTTCACTGGATTTTCTATCAGGATGAGCTCTTTCAGCTTTGGACAACGGGAAAGACTTGCCGGAAACTCCTGCAGCTTATTCTCACTCATGTCCAGGGATCGCAATGACTCTAGATTGCCCACCCCGGACGAGATGCTCTCAATCTGATTGTGGGAAGCAAAAACTTCACTCAAGTGGTGCAGATCTCCTCGGAGCATTACATCCAAATCAGTCAAGTTATTGCGGGAAAAGTTGAGGTAGGCCAAGTTTGAGAGGTTGCTGAAATTTTCTGGAATCACAGAAAGCTTGTTTTGACTCAAATCAAGTGTATGAATCGACGCTATACTTCCCAAACTGTCCGGCACATTTTCAATTGCATTTCTGGATGCATCTAGAAATTGTAAGCGTGTTAATTTACCTATGGAATCAGGTAACATAACCAGCTTATTCCCACGGAGAGTGAGGTTGAGTAAATGAGACAGATTACCTATTTCACTAGGAAGTTCTGCTAATCCAGCATCGGATATTTCTAGAAAGTTAAGAGGGCTCAAAGTAAAGATGCGCACATCAAGTCCTTTCAGAGCGATTCTTTCTGCAATATCCTTCCCTTTAAAGAGCAGTTCTCTACGGTTGTTCTCCTTTGCGTGTGACACTTCGTCCCATTCAGCCATTTTTATGAAATGAGAGAGAGAGAAAGTGTGCAGAATGTACTTGCCCCTGTAAATCCGCACTTCCTTGAACGCGGGACTTAACACAAACTCAACACGGATTGTAGTAGAATTGTATACAGTGCGATGAATGTATATAGCTAGTCTGCAGAGCTCGATTTCTATGACAAAACTTGCTAAAGAAACAGTTGAAGTGACAGAAGGAGTTTGGGAACAAGCGTTTTCCGTACATAAGTACCACAAATTTCAGGATATGATGCAATAATTTGTTAAAAGCTATATGATTCAACAGCTTTCAGACTCCGTTCCAGACGGCAGAACATGCAGAGGTATTTCACAATGTACATGGTGCAATGAGCGCTATACGGTAGGTTGCAAACGCAGACCCTTGTTTGCATTTTAATAAGAACAACATTTGTATTTGGCAACTGGGGCGTAATTGTACCCAAGGAGGGAGGGGGACCGGGCACGGGCACGGGCCCCTCTCCTGGCCAAAAAACAGGTAAAAACACGTTAATTTTACTTCTTTTTTGTTAATAAAAAGAAAACTGGCCCGCTCCCGGCTCCCCGGGCAACAATAAAAGGAATTTGTTTGGTTTTTGTGTTTGTTTGTTGTGCTCAAGGGGGGCGGGCGGGGCGGGGGGGGGCGTTGAGTTACCCCCCCCCCCTCCCCACTGAACGAAATATCGACCGGCGCGATTTTCAAATTTTCGGGGGCAAAAAGAAAAAGTTAGTGCTCACTACCCCCCCCCCCCCCCCCTCACTACCCCGGGGGGGGGGGGGGGGGGCTTATTCGCGCCACTTAATATTTTCTCTGGAATTGGGCCCCTCATTATGCCGTCGTTAAACCATATTGAATTTGGGGGGGGGGGGTATTTGGTAGTGGGAACAAAATGGGAAAAATTACAAAACTTTTTCGACAGACAATTTTTAGTTGGGGTCACATATCCTACCTCCGCCCCCTATGGTTCGGGTTTGTGTGTGTCCTCTTTCCCATGCAGTAGTTTCCCTCTCCCTTTCTCTCTCTCTCTCTCTCTCTCTCTCTCTCTCTCTCTCTCTCTCTGTCTCTCACACACACACTATCTCTGTCTCCCTCTCTCTCCCCCCCCCCCTCTCTCTCTCTCTCTCTCTCCCTCTCTCTCGCTCTCTCTCTATCTCTCACTCACTCTATCTCAGCAACTTATTTAATTGGTTAGACACTAGCCAATTTCTGTGAGAAAAAAATAATAATCTAGAGTTGGCTACTTTTGCACAACGCGCATTTAAGTTTTGTTTTAATGAATCTGTCACGTAGTATTTATATTTTCGTTTCTGGTTTGTTTGTGTGTGTGAAGGGGTTATTTACTTCAAGCCGCCCCCCCCCCCCCCCTCAACAAAAAGACAATTTTATTTTCAGAATCAAGGAGCTCCTGTATACATGTAAGTTTCAGTTAATAACGAAAACTTTCTCTGGTTGGAGGTCGGTCAAAACTTCACGTAATATTCAATTGTCCCCTCCCCTCATAATTATAGATTAATCTAGAGGGCCCGGGCATACGCCACGTGCACCTAGCCGATTATGAGATTGTGTACAACGTAATGATGCAATGCATGCAGGTTATATACCTGCGAATATCAATTATTTGTGTTGTTAAATGTCATTTAGAGTGTATCAGTGGCCATTGTGAACTTACATGTATATATTATTTATTTATATAATAAAACGTCAAAAAAGAAAAAGAAGAAGAAAAAAAGAAAAAGAAAAGATAATTCAATCATCATTTATTTCATAATCAAATTAGACAGTGCATAGTACCAATGCTAGTACTACATATCATAATTATACAGCGATTATGACGTCATAGCCCCGGACAATGGATTTGGGGGCATAACATAAATTATATTAAACATAACCATAAAGCTGTATATACGGATATAATACATAGTTCAATGAGATATGTAAAATAATTAACATTTCAGATGTAATAATTAAATTGAAATAAATGAAAATAATATAAGTGGTAAGTAACGTGAATTAATTTATGAAAGAGGGTGGTAGACTGGAGTCAGAGAGAGAGAGAGAGAGAGAGAGAGAGAGAGAGAGAGAGAGGGAGAGAAAGGGAGAGAGAGGGGTGACATTCTTTTGATAGGCGAGAAAGTTCTGGGAAGGGAAGTGAGGGGGGAAAGAGGGGGAAAGTAAAATAAAGAACGAAGAATGAAATGAGAGGGTATACAATGGAAGAGCACAAGTCCACCTTAACGGGTAATGATTGTAGTCATAGAAAATTAGCTAGATATCAACGATCAGAGAGTAATAATCTGATCAATTATTGAGAATATGACATTTGATTTCACATCAAAATTAACATAACATCGACAACAAAATAGATATGAATATACTAGACACGATAGATAATAACAGCCTACGTGGCCTATTCTTTCAAAATCGCGTAATGATTATTGATCCACAGTATATTTTGAAAACATGATTTGCTAGAAGCATATCTCTTGCTTTATGATTTGATCTACATTAGCTCTATTGCATCTGATATCATTAATTTAGATCGCAAATTAGAATAACATCTGCTAATTAAATGACAAGGGCAAATCTGTATCTTCTGAACTGAAGGGAACAATTATCATGGTAATACAGGTGTATGTAAATATTTACAGCATATAATTCGGTGTCTAAAATAGGTTAAAATGTGTGTGACAAAAATACTTTAAACCCACGTTATCTCTTTGTTTCTTCTTTTTAGTACTGGCCTTTTTACACTTTCATATACAGGAACACTAAGCACGAGTATGTGCAGTCTAACATTTATTGTTTTCACATCTCGAAATTTAATTTCATCCTGCCGACTGAAACTTTCAGGCACGTCACACACCACAGAAGTAAGTTCATAATTTTGTCGATAAACTTGTCAACTTTATATAATTTGGACTGGCAAGGGAATATGTGAAAAGGGGGCACTACAGAGAAACTACACAAAAACCGTGAAAACCTGGGAATAGCCTCAAAAGAGGGCATGGACCCCCCCCCCCCCTACTCGACTTCTTTTTTTTTCCAGTTAAGTTAACATTTTCATGGTCTTTCTCATGCCACACATAAATTTAAAAAAAAGTAATTGAGCAATAATATACAAGGTATATGTTATAAGAATACATTTCGACTACACATTGCATTAACATATCAATTAAGTTGCACCATGATCCAGTCATCAAAATATGATTTTTTTTTTTTCCTTCTATTCAAATATTACAGTCCTGTGATGCTTGAATACAAATAAATAGCCTCGATTATTTTTTAGTTAAACGTTTTGTTCACATAGACTGTACAATTTGAAGAGATTATTGTCATATTCAGAAGTCTACACATGACGTTATAAATGTTCATTATCTTAAAAAGTTTTTGCTGGGTTCTACAACAATGAATACGATGAATACAACATAATTATTATATGCACTGCAACGAATTATAATACATTAACTATGAAGTTTAATCATGTGTGGGGAACAGCTGTTCCTGAAACAAATTTGATCATACATAATAACATGTTTGTTTGTTTGTTTTTATTTCCGTATAAAATTATCACAACATACAAATACATACATAAATGAGATATACGGCGGATAGCCCATTTCAGGCGTATTAACAAAATACGCCTGTTCTTCCATGGGGTCCAATCCCCGAACAAATAGTCTACACATGACTTTATATGAGTGCTCATTATCTTTTAAATAAAATTGCTGGGTTCTACAACAATGAAAAAGATGAATACAACATGATTATGTGTCGCTGCAACGAATCATTATACATGTAGAAGTTAAATCATTTGTGGGGAACAGCTTTTACTGAAACAAATTCGATCATGCATAATATCATCACAATGCAGATTCAAACACATACATCAAATATTATTTATACTCTTTCACCATGCCAGTGGGGGGGGGGGGGCTGGGGGAAAACGAATACAAACACTTTAATTTAACTTTTTTTTGGAGATGGGCCCCCTCCCCTGGCGCTCAAGGGGGTGCGATTTTTCAAATTTTCGAGGCCCCCCCCCCCAAAAAAAAAAAAAATAAATAAAAAAAATAATAATAATGCTCACTACTGGAGTGTTCACTTTTGGAGGAGCTATGGTTGATGGGAGGTGTGCTGAAAAGCAGCTACCAGAATTTAAAAAGAAGTCAACATTATTTTGTCCAAGGTAGGTCAAAGGCAATTACTGTTCTCTTGTCTAATTCCTCTGACATCCCCAACAATTAGTTCTAGTCAACTTTCCCCTGAGATACATTTAGAGCAAGAAGTGAGTTTTCCTACTGCCTTTTCCTGGGTATAGGATGCTAAGAGACATCTGAGGGATATTGGGGAAAAGTTTATAGTCGGCGGCAACACTTCTCTGCCTCTCCCCTCCCAATTTAGTCTTCCAATCTGTCCCATCTTTCACATGGGAAGATGGAGAGCAAGAATAGGAGGCGTTGGAAAATATATGAAATAGTCATCCAGCCTCCTCCTCACCTCCTGAGTAAGATTGGCGGGTACTTGAAAGTTGCTGGGGAAACTGAAGAGAAGTCTAACTGCGTCTGTCCAAGGTAGATCTAATGCAACCGTATATAGTACGGTTCCTATCACAACCTGGTCATTGGCTATAGTCTCCAAACTTTCTCCTGAGATCCATAGATAGCAAGAAGATGAGTTTTATTCCTGCCCGTTCCCCGGGGGTTAAATTGGAGGGTACTTGAAAGTAGCTGAGGTAAACTAAGGAGAAGTCCAACTCTATATATCCAAGGTAGTTCGAAAGCAACAGTTCTCTACAAATGTACCTAGACCACAGCCTTTCTCTAGTAGACGCACATGATTTTCAGGACGATGAGGTTTTAGAAGAGCTGATCTGAAGAAGATGTTTGAAGACGTCATGCTGCATTCTGAGGGTTGTGTATATCCTCTATCTTCACCAGGAGTATCTCCTTATTTGCATAATCATTTTCTACATTGTCTTCAAGTCTTGGTGGAGGAGCTGTCGATTTAAAATTTCATGAGGGTTTAACAAGACAAGAGAAAATACTTTTAGTCGCTAAATTCTTTATCCCCTGCATGGTACAAATCAGAATATCAGCCATTTTAGTCCATATATATTTATATACCACTTTAAAGTAAGTTTGTTTTGTAAATTTGTTAAAAAGGGGGCGTCACCTTACAAACAGTCTCGCTATCTATCGATGTACGGTTACCAAAGACTTGCACGATGTATTGCTGATGCTAGGCTACATTGTCTTATGACCACTTTGATGACATATTGTATTCATTCAACTATCAAAAACTATTAATCATTATTGTTGTATGAAGTTGGATGAGGTAATGACTGATGATCACCCAGAACATGATTTGTAAATACAATTACGTTTCTAGTGAGGAGAAATTAAGATTTTATTTTTGCGTGAATAGCTATTTAGTGAGTGATGGCGGGTTGCGTGTCCCTATGTGCTCCCCCCCCCCCCTGTGGGTATTATGAAGAGCATTTTGTATTTTACTGGAAAGTGCCAATCAATCGAATGGTCTAAATAAAAATTTGATTGAAATAAGAACATCGTATTTCAATGATAAAATGCAACAATCAACTGTTTCTTTCTTTGGCTTATAGGCCCTACATTAAGGTTTAGAAATGTATACGTTTATTTGTCCAAGATGTGATGAATCTTTAGCATCACAATTTTTGAATTCTTTGCGTATTGTTAAAGTTAATGATAAAATGGAAATATTCATTCCTTTAATCCAGGCCTTACTTTTAATAATAATAATAATATATGAGATTGGTAATGCGCCGCATTCACTTGACAAAAGAGAAAAGAGACATCAGAAAAATCATCGACATTATGAAAAAAGGAACAGGAGGAAGATAGATCATAAAATAATGATAGAACAATTGATTATATGCCGAATTAAACAGCTACTTTTACATATATTTTTGTTAGACTCTTCAACTGATCTGCTATAATGAATCTCTCGAGGCAGAGTATTTTACCTTTCCGTTTTCTCATCCGGCTCCTGAGAAACAAGACATTGGCAGGTAAAAGCAGTATTACAACAACAGCCAGAATAATACAGATACAAAAGACCACATCAATTTGAATTCCACGGTCACTCCCTATATTCATGCAAACATGCAAACAAGTAGGGTACAAAGAGAGAGAGAGAGAGAGATAGAGAGAGAGAGGGGGAGAGAGAGAGGGGGAGGGAGGGGAGAACAAAAATAAGGACATGCATATACAATTGGAAACAAAAGAGGGCACAAACCCACAAAACAAAATAAAACAAATTGTGAAGGTCATGCAACATAAAATGTGTTTTGATATAAATTTTAATAATAAATTTTCATTTTACCAGACAAGTAATAGAAGACAAGTAATTTTACAATTATTATAATTATTATTATTATTATCAATAATGATAATAATGATAATAATAATATAATTATAATGATACTAATAGTAATTATACTACTAATAATAATGATGATAACAGCAATAATAATGATGATGATAATGTCAACAGTAATAATATAATAATTGTAATAATGATACAATAATATTACGCTCGATTAATGAATTACCTGTTTCTGTACTTGTGAGGCCTGTGGGTATAGGATGAAAAATTTGGCAAGGAGTGGAGGTTATCAAGTCTAGAACTTCTGATGATGTTGGTAAGGACGATGATGGTCCCTCATGAGGTGAAGATGATATAGTTGTAACTCCTGACAAGATTCATAAAAATATGGTGATACATGTACATGTATGTTGCAGATAATGCAGGGAAGCTTGATAATATTTATTTAAAAAATAAAAAAAATGAAGAAACAAACAAACAAACACACAAACAAAACTGTGGTAATATATATCATAAATTATTTTGGGATTGAGCCATGATTTTAAACCTTTGAACCAAATTGAGTCCTTTAAAAGCCTATATTGATATTAGCTACAGTTTCATGTTATACTGCATGCTTAGCCTGGTTTGGATTTAAATGCGATATTTGCAAACACAAAAACATAATCAAGTCTCATAAAACACATTTTAATTTTTAGAAGGGGTCATTAAGAACAAATTTGAACAATAAAAATAAGAACAAAATTAATACGATAATGCCAACACTGAGCAAGACCGAAATAGTTGGATTTAGCCATCTTTACCAAATTCTTCTCACTTACGTAATGTATCGGGCATGACGGTTGCCTCCTTGCATCTTGTATTCCGGTCAGCAGAACAATCGTCCTGTATTCATTTTGTAAAATTCATACAAAGAGTGCGAGCGGATAGAGAGGAAAAGAGATAAAGAAATATAAAAACAGGCAGATGGAGCCGGGTGGAGAGAGGGGGGAGGAAGGGAGGGAGAGGGGGAAGGAGAGAAGAAAGGAGGGAGGGAATGAGGGAGGAAGAGGTGGAGGGATGGAGTAAGAGAGGGAGGGAGGGAGAGGAGAGGTTGGTGGGAGAGGGGAATAGCACAAACATATCGAGAAGACAAACGATGAATAAAGGACAAAAAGGAAACAAGGGGAAAAGTGAGAGGGAGAGAGGGAGAGAGAAAGAGAGAGAGAGAGAGAGAGCGAGAGGTTAGTGGGGGAGGGGGTGGGGGCTAAGAGACAATGTATAAAATAGACATCGCCCAATTTCAATCATAGACAAGTAAAAATGTGAATTTTTATCCTTTCCTTTCTCTAAACACAGAAACAAATATTTCGTTTATTATGAAATGAAATACATATTATACAAATTACAATTCCAATCGTGCATTATTGCTGTATGTAGATTCCATGTTTAATAACTTATTGCATTTTTAAAACTCCGTCAAGCAAGAGGCGCGATAGCTCAGTTGATCTAGCAGTGATCTCGTAATCCGGCGGCCCGTGTTCGAAACCAAGGCATTAATCCTCATTACCAAGTCCCTCGGAGAGGACCTAAAGCCGTCGGTCCTATGGTTGCTTAATTACGAGCAATTATGCTCTCTTAGCAGTCAGGTAAAATAATCACCACTAAACCACTAAACCACTAAACCACGAATCCAGAAAAAAATGCTCATAAAGTAATGGTGTCCTGAAATGTTCACAGATGCATATCACACACATTCTGTTACTTAGTACATACCTCTATCCCATATGCGCAGTTGTCACATTGGAAGCAACCTGAGCAGTTATTCCAACCTGCTGTGAACGTCCCTTTTGGACAAGGTGAACATGATCTGAAAGGAATCAAATTTAGAATTTTCGAGCCTTGTCAGCTATTAGCAGAAATTGATACCCATTGTATTTTTCCTCGTTTCCTTTTACTATACGAAAGGGAACATTTTTCGGAAAATTAAGAAAATCTGTAAAGACCTTGACCTCGCTGAGGTATAACTTCACTAAGGAAATTCTAAATTCGTATAGGTTCATTAATATTTCGTATATAGGATACTGGAGCATACAATATTATATCCATAATATTCTTAGAAGAAAAAAAAGAAAATTAGTTAATTATAACTATCCTCTCAAGGTATATATTTCTTCTTCTTTTTCTTCCTTTTCTTCTTCTTCTTCTTCTTCTTCTTCTTCTTCTTCTTCTTCTTCTTCTTCTTCTTCTTCTTCTTTTGGTGTTTCTTCTGCTTCCTCTCTCTCCCTCTTTCTATCTTTCTCTCCCATCTCTTGTATATCTCATAATGTAAATGTTCTGTTCTTGATGAAAAAAATAAATCAATAAATCATTCAATCAACCACCCAACCGACCAATCAATCAACCAATCAATCAAATAAACCAACCGATCAATAAATGATTCAATCAATCAATCAATCAATCAACCAATCCTTAAAATCAAATAACCAATCGATCGACCAACCAATCTATCAACCAATCAATCAACCAATCCTTAAAGTCAACTAACCAACCAACCAATCCATTATACATATCAATCGTGTAATACATACTCTTGAACAGTGGAGCAGTTATCAGGTTGATACATGCCAGGCTGACAAGCATTAATAAGCTGCTTCGTGCATTGATTCCACACCTTGGCCCCACCATCAGCTGGTAAGACACACTTCTTCTGGTTTGGATGGAAGCATGAGTAAACAAAGAAAGATCAATGTTTGCATGCTTTCTTTCTTTCTTGAATAGTGTATTTTGCAATATGGATCTTACTTTACTTATTCATTTATTCTATCTTATTTATCATCATCAGTACTATTATTATTATTATTATTATTATTATTACTGTAACTATTATTATTATTATTATTATTATTACTGTTACTATTATTATTATTATTATCATTAAAATTAGAAGTAGTATAGCAGTAGCAGTAGTAGTAGTAGTAGTAGTTGTTGTAGTAGTATAGTAGTAGAAGTAGTAGTACTTGTAGTACTAGTATTTTTAGTAGTAGTGTTGGTGTTGTTGTTAATATTACTGTTATGATTATTATCTTCATTTTTCGGAGGGCGAGGGGTGTTAAGTTTCCCTTTTTTGGCTTCATAAGAAATAATAGTGCTGAAATTCTACCAAATAAAAATGCAGATGATTTCTTGTGATTCAATTATCTGCACCGCATGGCTTTATCTTATACCGAGTGTAAGAGAATTGATAATCCATTTAAAGTTAAATACAATACAGTACAGTATGTAATTGAAGAAGAAAAAACACTAAATATGCTGCTCGTTTTGACCTAACGTTGTGGTGTAACCTGTAAAAGAAAAGAACCATAAAAGTAAACCCAAGATTTCCACTAGTTGGAATTGAACTTATGTGCAATTTATTGGAGGGTACCTCCAATAAATTGCACATAAGTTCAATTCCAATTTATTTTGCACATGTAGCTTTAGTAACATAGGGCACAGTTTTGATAATTGTATAATCCTTTAAAAGATGAATACATTGAATAATTATATAATATATTAAATGATAAACTTCCCTGTCCTTAAAAATACACGAGAGAAAAGAAGTTTGAAACCCAAAACCTAGGCATGCTCACCATTTTTGTTTCCATGGCAGCACTTGCATATTTGCAATACAGTAGAATCTGTGTAAGGAAAATATCACATTAATATTGAAATAATAAAATTTTGAAGATTTAAAACTAACCTTGAATTATGTTGATTGTTTCCCACTTTTAGAAAAACTGTCTTGAAATGATAATATATGTTTATCATGTAACGGATTTGTTGTTTAGAATTAAACAATTAAGAATCAAACGTGTCGGGAATCACACTTATTGAAAAGTCTATCCAATTCAATCCAATCCCAAAAGGTATATATGAATATTATTTCATTTAAGTTTATAATGATCAGAATCAAAGAACAATCACAATGAAAAAGATATAAACAAGATATTAAAATCAGATGGCAATGGAGAAGAAAAAATATATATAAACAACAAAATGAAAACTCTTGATGTAGCGCCTTTGGGGAAAAAAACACATTAAGGAGGTGACGTGTTCTTCACGTTGCCCGGCAGGACTTAAAGTCCCCCCCTAAATTTCGCCTCTTGGCGACTATACACTCTAAGAAAAAAGGGTGCAAAAAAGGGTGCAAAATAAGAGTTTGCACCCTTTACATAAAAATGAACCCTTTTGAAGGAAAAGGGGTTCAAAAAAGGGTGCAAAATCTTATTTTGCACCCTTCCCACAAAAATGAACCCTATCGACCAAAAAGGGTGCAAAATAAAAGTTTCCATATTGCATGCATATTCATGATTACTTTACACGTGTTCACATAAAAAATACATTTATCATGATTTGTTAAACAAATTATGACAATGCACATCAATTTTGTGACTTGAATTTTTCTTCGGCAATCATTAAACAAATAGATTATGTTGTCTGATCATGTTACAATTACATTCACGTTTTAGCAATAGATACATTGATTATATGATTACTAACCAATAAACAACATGCATGTTTAATATGTATTTGTGTACGAGCAAATAACACGAGTATTCCTCGAGTATGGAAGAAGAATTGCACCTTTTAAAGGGTGCAGGACTGAACCCCTAAAGGTGCTGCTATTGCATCGGTTTGCACCCCAAAGGAGCAGGATTGAACCATTAAGGAGACTAACATGTCTCCTCAAAGGTGCAATCTGGCACCCTCTTTAAAGGGTGCAGGATTTAACCCCTAAAGGTGCTGCTATTGTTGCATCGGTTTGCACCCCTTAAGGTGCAGGATTGAACCATAAAGGGTACTAACATGTCCCCTAAAAGGTTCAATCTGGCACCCTTTTAAAGGGTGCAGGATTGCACCTTTAAAAAGGGTGCAGGATTTAACCCCTAAAGGTGCTGCTATTGTTGCATCGGTTTGAACCCCTAAAGGTGCATAGTTGCACCATTTTTTCTTAGTGTGTACAGAAAAACTGTACTAAAATCGTTTGGTAGATATCGCAGTTTTGAATAATGAGCGTAATTTCATTTGATTATGTTAATATTTGATTGTCGCCATTATCAGAACTTAATAAATATTAGTAATAATAATAGTAATAATACATTATTAACTGCAGACATTCATAATGTGTAAGATATCCACCCGGATAGTGCTTAAAACGCTGCCTTATAATAAACAAAATAAATGTAATAACAACAACCCGTCTAAAAGTGCTTAAAACAAAACAGAACGAAAGATATATAGGAGAATCACTTGCTATTAGATGTGTTTTTAGATTTAAAGGTAATATAAAGTTTTGGTATGGGGTCATAAATTTGGTTCAAATGAACATAATTATTGGAAGCATGTGCAATCCTACGACATTCAGTGATCGTTGTCGCGGTTGAAATCGAGTCTAAAGTTATGAAATTGTAAATAATAAACTCGTTATGTTGTATAGCTCCCTCTTAAGGTCGAGATATTAATTAAGCTATACTATAACTAGGCGTTGTGGCGTGCGCCTGTAATCCAGCTTACAGTGGTAGTTACAAACTGATTCAGCCGAGAACGCAGGTTCGAAACTGAGTCACGTCTTTCGGATGGTGACGTTAAAAGTCGGTCCCCAGACGTAAATAATCATATCTGATTGATACACGTCTGTAAAAACCCAAATACACACACACACACAATATACAACAATGTTTCTTGACTAAAATCGACCGATTAGCTATTCCCGTTTGGAAATTATGATAATAATAATGGTGGCTTCTTGTATAGCGCACATGTCCGTCACGTTGTGACGCTCCTGGCGCTGCCCCAATTATTACCCTGGCTTTAGCAAGGCAGCCACTGCGGCGCTCTAGCATTTCAAGGAATTAATTCCTGCCAGGTACCCATTTACATCACCTGGGTTGAGTGTGGCAAATGTAGATCAATGTCTTGCCAAAGGACATTTAGTGCCGCGGCGGGACTCGAACCGCAGACCTTAAGATCGACAGTCCGTCGACGTATCCACTCGACCACGACACCTCTATATAATTATCACAACTACATATTCTGAGATTTTCATGATCGCAGCTACCACTGTATGGTCGTAGGCGCTATTTGAAATATATCAAAATTTACCGGGAGCACCGGGACATTTTAATATTTCATTTTTCTCGAAAGTAGACTGACTGTTTTAGGGGCTAAATTTTCTAGTGCTTATAATACATCCACAGGGGAATCCAAATATATCAAAATTGTAAAGAATCACTATCCACCCAATTTTCAAAATTTCCCAAAACTTTGTATTACCTTTAAAGTGATCTACAGTTTTACAATCTTTCAATGATTTTAGGAGGCTGATCCACAACCAGTGATCTCTTTTCAGGGAAAATTTAGTTCTAGGGACAATTAGAGTACAGATTCGTTGGATGACAGAGCAAAATTACTAAACAGTAGGCCACTTGACAAAATGTCATGTCAGTCTTGATTGTAACAAAACTGCATGTCAAGTTACATTAAAAATGATGATAGATAATATTGGCTGAACAACAAATATCTAATATTAACAGATAGAGATTAGATTCATCACGCTAAAGATCGAAAGCAAGTACATTTGCCATCTATTAAAACATCTTAACACAGGGAAACCCGCAGTTAATGAAATGTTGGTTTGCTTGTGGGCCTTGCCATTCTGAGTCAATTAATTCTTATTGAAACTCATATTTTTTCAGCATGTATTACCTGGACGCATTACCTGCATGTAAATCCCAAACATGGCGATAATGCTCGGATACTTACTTGTAAAACTACTGCACAATATGACAACGTATTTCCACAAAAGGGTAACATGGTATGGTG